CAGGACCCACATGACAGTTAACAACTGTGTATAACTCCAGTTCCAAGGGATCTGACACCTTCTTCTGGCATCTGAAGGCACTGAACACATGAGTGCACTTACATACAAGCAGGCAAAACACTCATACACATAAAACAAAATAAACATATTTTTAAAAAAGAATCAATTGATTTTTTTTCTAAAAAATTTTAACATGGAGTTATTATATGACCCAGAAATTCTACTTTTAGATATATGTCTAAGAGAACTTAAGGCTTATGTATACACACACACACACACACACACACACACACACACACACACACATTCACCATAGGAGCACTATTTGTAGTAGCCCCAAAGTAATAATTCTAATATCCATCAATTGATGGATAGACAAGATATGGTCTTGGAACATGCGTGGAACAGTATCACATATGTACACCACATGGATGAATCTTGGAAAATACATTCTGGTAAAGAAGTCAGACATGAAATGAAACACAAATTGCATGGCTCCACTTATATGCAATGTCCAGAATAGGCAACTCTATGGAGGCAGAATAAATGCGTGGTCACATGGAGCTAGGGAAAAGCGGAAATAGGGAGCAACTGCTGATGGTACCAGGTTTCTTCGGGAAGTGATGAAATGTTTCGGATTGATAGTAATGGCAGCTGTACAACTTGGTGAACATACTAAAAACCACTGATTTATACATTTTAAAAGGATGGAGAGATGGTTCAGCAGCAAAAGTGTGCACAGCTCTTGCAGAGGACCCATGTCTAGTTTCCAGCACCCACATCAGGCAAGTCACGACCACCTGTTCCAGGCAATTGGACACCTCTGGTCTCCAAGAGCATCTGTACACACGGGCATACCCCCCACACTCATGTATAATTTAAAATTTTTAAAAGAATGGATCTATGTATGTGAATACTGTGAAATATTTAAAAGCTTCCCTTTCCCAGCTGCATGCCTGATGCCTTCTTTTACATCATGCTCTCATACCTAGATGCTGTATCTTCACATAAAAGTCCAACATTGTTCCCAACAACTTTTTTTTTTTTTTTTTTTGGTCTTTTTGAGACAGGGTCTCCCAGGAGACCCAGCTGGCCTAGAACTCACTATGTAGACCAGGCTGGTCTTGAACTCACAAAGATCCGCCTGCCTCTGCCTCTGCCTCTCAAGTGTTGGCAATAAAGGCATGTGCCACCACGCTCAGCTTAATAACCTTCTTTTCTCAATGATGCAGGAGCTAACACTATGGGTAGTAGGGGAAAAGGGCCCATGCTGAGAACTGCAGAATGCTCATATATGTTGCAGTGAGGACAGATGCTGAGTTTAAAAGGAAGATTAAGGATAATGTGACAACGCCTGAAGCATGGAGGAAGAGGAGAAAGAGAGCTTGTAGCTGGTATGACACAGTCAAGTGGACCAGATAAGAGACAGTCAAGAGGTCCTGAGAAACAAGGGCAGGGATGGCAGCCCCCTGAAGCCCTTGAGGGACATAGGTATGGCTCAGGGTCATTTGTTTTTTAAAAAAAATTGTAAGCTGGGCATGGTGGCGCATGCCTTTAATCCCAGTACTCAGGAAGCAGAGGCAGGTGGATCTCTGTGAGTTCCAGGCCTCCTGGGGCTACTGGGAGACCCTGTCTCAAAATGACAAAAAAAAAAAAATTGTGTATAGTGGCACATGTGTCCCACAGATCATGTGTGGAGGTCAGAGGACAACTCTGTGGTATCAGGTCTCTCCTTCCACCTTTAAGTAGGTTCTGGGGATTGAACTCAGGTCACCAGGTTCACATAGATTGCTTTCAGTTTACCCACTGGGTCATCTCACTGGCCCCTATTTTTTTTTTTTCTGAGACAGAGTTTATGTCCAGTCTGGCCTCAAACTTGCTATGTAGCCAAGTTTGGTCTTGAACTCTTCATCTAGATCCACATGACTGGATCAAGTGTGCACCACCACACTAGGCTAGGGTTCCCTTATGCTCTCAACAAGCATTTATTATGTGCTTGATATTGTAATTGCTTCTGGACACTCAGTGGTAAATGAAACAGAGGTTTTTGTTTTGTTTTGTTTTTTCCCTTCAAAGTGCTTAATAGCCAATGGAATAAGCCCAGTGATTACAGATTAAGTGTGGTGGTGACGGAACAGGATGCAGTATTAGTTACCTAAGGGTGGTGAAAGCCAGTGATTGTTTCAGATAGGTTTGGTATTAGTGAGGTCTCAGGTGCTGAACACTGAAATTGGAAGAGTAAGAAACCAGATAAGTGACAAGCAGGAGGTGGGATGAGTCCAAGAGCTATTGCTCAGAACAGAAAATAGCTGTAAGAATTGGGACTGAAACATAAGGAAATGAAAAACCTTCTGCACAACTAAACAATCAGCAGAGTGAACAAAGAGCCTACAGAATGGGAGGAAATCTTTCCCAGCTATACTTCAGACAAGGAGTCAATGTATAATATACTGTAGAAACTAAACACCTTAACTAGGCCAATGAACTGAACAGACAATTCTGAAAAGAAATGCAAATGGCCAGTAAATATTTTAAAACTGTTCAATATTCTGAGTCATTATAGAAATGCTAATTAAACTACTTTGAGAGTCCATCTCATCCCAGTCAGAAAGGTTATTATCAAGAAAACAAATGACAACAAAAGGATGTGAGGAAAGAGTTACCCTTATTTACTGCTGATGGGAGTCTACACTGTGTACAGCCATTTGAAAATCAGTGTGGAGGTTTCTCAAAAGACTAAAAACAGAACTACCAGATGACCCAGCTATATCACACCTGGGCATAGAACTAAAAGATTCTACATCCTACTACAGAGATGCTTGCACATACATGTTCACTGCTGCTCTAGTCACAATAGCCAGGCAATGGAATCAGCCTTGATGTCCATCAATGGATGATTGGATAATGAAAATGTTGCATATATTATGCAGTAGAATTTTATTCAGCCATAAAGAAAACAAAATTAAGAAATCTTCAGAAAAATGGATGGATCTGGAAATTCTATTAAATGCAGATTCTAGCTTGTAATTTTTACATATGTGTATTTAGGAGGAAAGGAGGCCAGGACACTAGAAAGGTGCCCATGAGAGGGAAGAAAGAGGCTTGAAGGGAAGAGAGTGGCAAGGGTAACAGAATATGTGATAATGGGGAATACTGGGGGTGGGAGGGTACTCACTGGGATGAAGGGTACTCACTGGGATAGAGACGAGGCTGGGAGACAGGTGAGAGGAGTAGGTTGGAGAGAGAATTAACAAAATTAAGTATGTATGAATATGTCAGAAGGAAACCTGTTAATATGCTAATTAAAAATTAAATTTTAAAACAAGAGAGATCATGCTTAGAGACATCAGCAGACCCCAGAAGGATTTTGGTAGGCCAGGGTTAGGAGTTTGGATTTTATTCTAGGTTCCAAGTATAATGCAAGTCATTAAAGAATTTTAGGTAAGGAAGTATCACTTTTTGCTGCTGAATAGTGAAGAAACTGGAGAGGCACAAGAAATAAACAGGCAAGGCACACAGATCAGAAGGGTAAAGGTGGCATTCAGGTAAAAAATATGGGTGATTTGGGGTGGGCAAGATGGCTCAGGAGGAAAAGGTATGTGCTGAGTTCGATTCCTGGAACCCACATAAAAAGCCAGAAGCAGTGGCACACATCTGTAATCTCAGCACTCTCACGGAGAGGCAGAAATATGAGAATTGCCGGAAAGATCACCAGCCAGCTAGTCTGGAGCACTCAGCGCAAGAGAAACAAGATCATGCCTTACTCAAAAGTTGTCCTCTGACCTCCACAGTGGCACGCCCCCTAAAAAAATGAATCAAATTAAAAACTTGGAAGATTTAGACTAGGGTTCCCACAACACAAAGTAGTAATAAAATAAATAATTTGGATTAGGGTGTGCTAGTGCAGGACCATAAAACAGATTAGATGCAGAATTAACCTGGCCTGTGAAGTTATCAGCTGGCTGAGTGCAAACTGAAATTCCAGGAACTGGTATTAAGAGAAAGTCCTTATACTAGACTAGACCAGAAGGGTGAGAGTCAATATTCAAGAGGTTGGCCATTTTCATTTTACACCAACAATTAGTGCAGGACTTTTTCCATCAAAGTTCAGTCAAACAGACATAGGAGTAAAGAGAGCACTATGTTCATTTGGAGGAAAATTTTGTTGTTTTTCAGAATTAAAGCACAGGAATGAACCAGAGGATGGGGTATATTTTTAAAGACAGAGCTTATAATGACAAATTATGACATGGATGGGGGTAGGTGGTCAGAAAATGGAAGGGTTAATAGATTGGAAGTGTAACAAGTTCAGGAGCCAGTGGGAAGCTATCACGTATTTGGGTAGGAAGGCTGGGAATGGACATTCTCCCAGTCTATGCAAAACGTTTTGCTCTCCAAACATACCCACTTCACGCTCTTCTGTTCCTCCAGAACCCCGACCAGCGATACCTCATCCAATCAGTGTACTAGATCGGATAGTAGTCAAGAGACCACGTGTTAGTCATTCTTTTCCTTTTAGGCTCCTTCATGCACTAAGTTCTTTGGATAAATTTCAAAAGTCTCTGAATCGGCGGTACACAGGACAGCGCCTCGCAAACTGCAATCTCACCAAAGGCTGAGTGAAATCTCCAATGTCATCTGCTCACTAAAACTGAGTGCCACAGAGAAAGACCAAAACCTCAGAATCCTTGTTCACCACAGTTCCGGATTACTTCCAATTATCTCAACAGTGCGTTCCATGTCACAAATTTTAATTTTAATCCACTTACACTCAAAATATCCCTGCATAAGCCACAGCACTGACGCGGTGGAGGAACAGCGAGCTTGTATGCAATTAGAAGTCTGAATGGCACCATGTGAAAAGTCTAACTCACTGAGACAAGTCACTTTCCCCACGGCCTAACGCACAGTGGGTGGCTGAGACAAGATGGGGTTCCAGTGGACCGCCACGTGTGGGCAACTGGGGTTGGGGCGCTAGGGTGTCTACGTTGGGCACCTACCTTCTACCCCCTCGGCCCCCGCCGCCTGGGTCGCCTGACCGCTGGCTGCACAGCCTGTTGCCATGGTTACCGCTTATCTGGGGGTCGCGCAGGTCCCACCTGGGTGTGCAGCCTGCACACAGGAGGAAGTGGTACTCGGCCTCGCCTCCGCCGGAAGCGCCGCTCCCCGGGGTCACGTGACGGTGCTGGGCGCGGCCACGCCGGCTTGTTTTGCTCTTTGCTTGTTGAAAGGCAACGAGCACGTGGGCTGGGCGGTGGCGTTGCGGTCGTGTGGTCTTAGCTTCCTTCTTGCTTCTCGTCTTTGTCCAGTCTGGTCTTTGTTTTCCGCCTTGGCTTGTTCCCACCCAATGGGACTTGGGCGTTTAGGGGATGGTTTGCCGTTCTCTGAGGCTGGGGATGCGCGCTGGACACCCGCCCATCCACCCCGCCCATCCTCCCCGCCCACCGGCTCCTCTCGCTCAAGATCACCCAAGGCTGGTGTTCCTGGCTGCTCTGGAATTGGAACCTCAAGCTGTGTCTCTTGCTCACGTTCCCTGTGACTTATTTCCCTAGTCAAATTCCTTAAGTTTTCAAGGACACTGACAGCTGGCGGGCTTCTGGATTTGGACATCAAAACAAACTAATGGCTGGCAGCGTGGTCCGGAGAGCCCCCATGCCATGCTTTCCTGTTTACATCTGGTAAACAGGAGATAAAATTAGGTCACTAGCTTTCAACCTTAATAGAATCTTTATTGCTTAGCCATTTGAGTGACAAAACAAAAATGGGTAGAAGACTATCTTTCATATATATATGAATGAAATTGACTAGTTTATAATATTGGATACGTAGGACGAAGGATAACATAAAACTAGACAGCACCTATTGTCTCAAAAAACATTTCAATGACACGAGACTGCTGCGTCTCTATTTTACCCTGCCCCTTTCTGGTGAGAATCCTAATAAAACCCAAAGCCCAATATAGAAGCAAGCCCTGGGGTAAGTGGACTGAGGTCAGCGATTTATTAGACACGTGATGTAAACTTGGGCACTTCCTCCAGCAACCCGGCTAACTCAGCCTCCGGGCTCCAGCCTCGCTGGTGTTTCCCCGTCAGGGCCGGCGCTCCTCGGCCTCTTCCATCCCTGGGGGTCCCACTCGCGACCCCTCTCCTGTGGGAAGGGCTGACGGCCTCGCCTCCTTCCCCGCCTCCCGCGGCTCTAGCGGCGCAGGCGCAGCAGACGCGGACGGCAGACAGAGGATCAGGACCAGCGCCGGGCTCTGGCTCCGGCTACGGCTCCGGCTCGGGCTCCCGCTCCGACTCTACCCGCCAGTCAGAGCCCTGAGTGTCGGCGGCCACGGGGACGCTCCGGGCAGGGCCTTTGGGCGGTGGCGCCATGGGCTCCGGGTGGAGTAGCGAGGAGGAACGGCAGCCGCTGCTGGGGCCCGGGCTCGGGCCTGTGCCCGGGGCTGCGCGCAGGGTTCGGGAGGCGGCGGCCGCGCTGCCCGTGGCGGGCCCTGGCCGGGTGTACGGGCGCCGCTGGCTGGTGCTGCTGCTCTTCTCGCTGCTGGCGTTCGCGCAGGGCCTGGTCTGGAACACCTGGGGCCCCATCCAGAACTCGGCGCGCCAGGCCTACGGCTTCTCCAGCTGGGACATCGCGCTGCTAGTGTTCTGGGGGCCCATCGGCTTCCTGCCCTGCTTCGCCTTCATGTGGCTGATGGACAAGAGAGGTAAGGGGGTCGGGACACCTGCTCGCTCTGTCACTCCGCGAGCCCGCACCTGCCAGGCTCCGGGCCTGCCAGCGGCTCCCTGGGCTTGGTCTTAGGGGTTGTGCGAGGTGAGCGACTGTCGCTGGCATCCCCATCCTAACTCGGGAACCCTCTGTCCCCAAAGCAGCAAGTAGGGCGAGGCTGCTTTCCAACTACTGATGTTTTTTTCATGGCTCTTTGTGCAATGTTAGGGATTTAAATGATGATTAAATGTTAACGATTTGTGTATTTGGAGACATCAGAGCGTCCCAGGGCACGTGCTGTTTTCGATATCTGACAAAATGACTAATGCTTTGATTTAAAATGGATTTAGGGATGTTGAGGATGAAAGGTCAGAAGAGAGACTGATGATGCCCATGGGTAAGGAAGTAGTGAGTTGGCTTAGTATAATAGGTGACTCCGGCCCTGAAAGAACTATTGGGAAACAGAGCTGACGCTTGGGTTTCTGGAAGGCAGTGCTCCCCAGTTTAAAATTTGTGCGTGCGCCCAGGTGACTTTCTCAGTTAAGGTTTATGACTCTCAGATAAGTCAGCAGGTGAAGGCTGTCTTCCAGAGAGAGGTACTGAACATCTCACTTTGCCTCTTGTGGCTGATTCTGTGAGATGGGGAGAAGACCACAGGGTTTCAGATATTCAGAATGTTAAATTATCCCGCCTAAGTATGGGTAAATGACTGGTAGTGTCCATCTACCCTCAGGAGGCTGTTGTGCGAGATTAATTAGGTATGTAGTTGGATAATGATTGAGAGCTGCTTTGTTATAGTTTCTGTTCAATCTTTTGTAAGTTATGCTGAAATGAATTCTTTAGTCAGTCTTGGAACCTTGTCTTAGTCTATGGGTCTACTGTAACAAAATGCCATAAACTGATAACACAGAAATCTATTTCTAACAGTTCTGGACTGGGAAGGCCAAGGTGAAGGGCTAGGCAGAATCCTTGTCTGCTGAGCACCCTTTCTATACAATGATCTTTTCTTTGTAATCTTTCATAAGGGAAATGGCCAGGGATCTCTCTGGGGCCTCTTTTTAAAAAATTATTTGTTATTTTTATTTTATGCGTATGAGTGTATTGCCTGTATGCATGTGTGTTGTGCAATGCCTGCAGATATCAGAAGGTGTTGGATCCCCTGGAACTGGATTTATGGACAGTTGTTAGCTGCCATGTGGATCCTGGGAACTGAACCCGTTTTGGATACTATGCTTGTGTGTTAGAACAGTCCTCTTTTTAGCAGCTATATCATATGTTGATCATAAATGAATTCTGTTACCAATTTTGTAGTCTCTTCTATGTGGATTGCTGTGAAGGAACCATCAGGATGAGAGGGTCCTCTGTAAGAGCAACCAGTGATCTTAACTGCTGAGCTATCTCTCCAGTGGGGCCTCTTTTATAAGGGCATTAACCATATTCATGAGAGCCCTACCCACATAACCCTATTTCACCCCCCAAGCCCCACCTCTTTTTGTTTGCTTGTTTTTGAGATAGCCTCTCCCTGTAGCCCTTGCTGGCCTGGAACTCACTATGTAGACCAGGCTAGCCCTTGATCTCACAGAAATGGGCCTGCCTTTGCTTCCTGAGTGCTGTGATTAAAAGTGTGCACCATCATGCCCAGCTTAGCCCCCACCTCTTAATCCAGTAATTTAAGGGGTAGAATTTCAGCATAGGAATGAAGGGTACACAAACACTCTGACCAGAGAAAGTAGAACTTTGATATGGAGTTGTGATTGTCAGGCACAATGTAGCATTCAAAAGATTTGTTATTGGCAGAACAGAATACCAAGGTGGTGTTCACAGCTGTGTACCCTCTCATCCTGATGGTTCTTCCACAGCAATCCACATAGAAGAGACTGAATTCATTTATGATCAACATGTGATATAGCTGCTAAAAAGAGGACTGTTCTAACACACTAGTATCCAAAACAAGAAGAAAAATACTTTGATAACTCTACAATAGCATTTAGTCCCAAGCATTGATTTTAAGAGCTTGGACAACTAGAATACTCTAAAAGTTGTGTGACAAGAATGATAAAAAGTGTAAAAAACATGAAATTTAAAATAAAGCTTTAAAAACTGAGGCAGAACCGGGTATGCTGGCAAATGCCTTTAATCCCAGCACTCAGGAGGCAGAGGCTGGCAGATCTCTGAGATCAAGGCAGCCTGGTCTACATAATGAGTTCCAGGCTAGGTGGGGTTACAACTGGAGTTACCTGCCCCCCTTCCCCCCAAAAACTGAGGCAGAATATATAGGATATGTGAAGATTAAGTAAAAGAGCATTTAACTTAATGCTGATAGTTCTAAAAGTAAGATCTACAATGAATGTAACTCCAGGCAGTACAAGGAACCTTCTACCAATGAATGGTCTGTAGTGGTGGAAGGGTGTGTCTTAACTGGTGTAGAACTTCAGCAAAAGCAGGTACTTAGGCATAGGAGTCTAAAAAAGGACTGGGTGGAGATTATCTCTGTTCTGTTTGCCTTTAAACTCAATTATAGATTTTACTTGGGTTCATCAGTGTCCCTCCCACCACCCCTTTCTGTTTTAAGATTCAGCCTACTTTCTTCCAATCTGGAAATTCCTTAGTCATTCTTTTAAAAGTTGGCCAAGTTAAGAGGTGTCAAAAGACAAAAATTAGAGAGCTGGGGAAATGGTACATTAGGTAAGAGTGTTTGCTGAGAAAGCAAGAGGACCAGAGTTCAAATCTCCAAGCACCCATGTAAAAGCTGAGCATGGCGTCACAAATGTAACCTCAGCATTGTGGGGCAGAGACAGGCTGATTCCTGGAGCTCTAGTAAGTTTCAGATGCAGTGAAAGAGTCTGCCTCAAAAATTAAGGTGGAGCTGGGACTACAGGGAGACACTGTCTCAAAAAAAAAAAAAAAAAAAAAAAAAAAAAAAAACCAGAAAATGAAGGTGGAAAGCGATAGAGAAAGGCACCCAACACTTCCCTGACCTCCACATGCATCTGTACACAGCACACACACCTTCTTACACCACACACACTCCCACCCCCAATAATAAAATAAAAGAAAATTAAGAGTTTAATTGTAGTTGTATTAAACTTTTATTTGTGATTGGTGAGTCAGGTACCTTGCACAAAATAGGATAAACTCTCCCACTGGGAACAATGGATTTCAGAAACAAGAAAACAGAATAGAAAAAAGTCTTGACTAGAAAAAACATCAGACTGCTGCTGGCCACTTTCATGTAAAAGTTAAATCAGAGGGATTTTCTTATTGTATTAGCTCACGTAGGAATCGCCTGTTTTTAGGAAAAACTGGTTTGTTTTGTGATTTAGCTACTTAAAGTTTTAATTTGAGTTTTAATATGAGTTACTCTATTTTGGATTGGTTTGGTCTGTTAGGTCCTTGTGTAAGAGCTCAGTTCAAAATAGGCCTCCCATAATTCTGGCTCAACAGAGAAAATAATATTTTTTTAAATACTATTTTTTTAAATTTGTGTGTATTGCCTGCATGTAAATAAGTGCACCCATGTCATGCAATGCCCACGGAAGACAGAAGAGGGCCTTGAATTCCCCTGGAACTGGAGTTACTCATGATTGTTAGCCACCATGTGGGTACTGGGAATCGAACCCATGTCCTCTATAAGAACAGCCAGTGCTCTTAACTGCTGAGCCATCTTTTCAGCCCCCAAAAGTGAGGTTTTTGTAGTTTCTTTTTACTTTTCTTTTTTCAATAGAAGCATTTTCATTACTATTCTTTAAGTTTAGCCAACGTTTTTTGTGGTACAAAACGTTAGTTTTTAAAATATTTATTATTTTTAATTTATGTGTATGTGTGTATTGCCTGCATGTAAGTAAGTGCACCCATGTCGTGCAGTGCCCACGGAAGACAGAAGAGGCTGTCCAATCCCCTGGAACTGGAGTTACAGACAGTTGTTAGCAGCCATGTGGGTGCTGGGATTCGAACCTGGGTCTTCTGCAAGAACAGTCAGTGTTCTTAACCTCTGAGCCATCTCTCCAGTCCCAAAATGTTAGTTTTTAACTTGTTACTGTGAGTGCCTCTATCATCCATGACCAGATAAATTAGAAGTACTATTCCCTTCAGAAAACAGTTGCTTTGGGGGTTGTTTCATAGTTCCTATACCTGTATGGTGAATTCCATTTTGTATTTTCTGTTGGTTGAAGCAATAAAAAAAATGAATTAAGAAGTTATTACTTGAGCTGAGGAGATGACTCAGTGGGTTAAAGCACATGCCACACAAGTGTGAGTCCTAGAGTTCAGATCCCCAGCACCTACCTGGATCGGTGTGGCTGCTTGATTTGTGTGACAGCTGGTTTGAGTCTGAGGATCACCAGGGCAGGCTTAGCTAGAGTATTGAATCAGCAGGCTCCCGATTCAAATAAGAGACCCTGCTTCAATATGTAAGGTTGAAAGCACTCAAGAAACACACCTGAAGTCAATCAATGTCCTCCATATACCCATGTGCTCTTTCGGGCTCTCTCTCTCTCTCTCTCTCTCTCTCTCTCTCTCTCTCTCTTTCTCTCTCTCTTTCTCTCTCTCTCTCCATGTATACAAACACAAAAAAGAAAGAGTTCTCTCTTTTAGGAAGTAGTTCTCCTTTTCAGTGGGAGCAAACTAATAAGCTTTCATAAAGTTTGCTGTCCTGCTGCATGCGTCCCAACTGCATACAAACAGGTCAGGTTCTCAACCTTCAGTAGGTTGCTCCATGGGAGGTGTAACTGTCTTGTCTTCATGCTGCCCCAGGCTTCAACTGGCTTAGCTGGGAAGCCTGTTGTCTTCCTAAGATGGGTGTTGTACCTTTCCACCTCTTTTCATTTACCAGCAAGGAAACAGAAAACCTGGTTAGTGAGATAGTAGGAGAGCCAATGGCTAGTGTATCCTGGAAACCAGACTGAGAAAGCGGCAAGAAACAGCAACCAAGTGCATATTGAGCACTGGAGATAAGGCCCTCCTGAGTCTACATTTAGTGAGAAAATCAAGAAGCAACTT